ACGTTAGGGAGTTCCGTAGTTTCAATAGATTCGCTAGCCACAATACTTATCGAAGTAGAGGCAATGCTTAACACACGTCCGCTCACTTATGTGGCAACAGATTTTGAGAATAGCGGAGTAATACGCCCCATAGACTTCATACAGAAAGACATTATCCTGTCTCATCCCTGGATATCTCCAGCAGAGGACAGCAAGACCCCGATTATGCGCCACATGGAGAAGCCCTTGCACTTCAAACTAGGCAACAGGCAGTAGCTGCATTAGAATCATCCTGCAAGTTAACGGAAAAATTTTGGCAAGTGTGGCAAAACCAATACCTGACCGATCTAAGGGAAAAGCACACCCTTCATGTTAAAACAAAAAAGGGATGTACTCAGGTCCCACGAGAAGGAACCTTGGTCCTGATCTGCGAGGCACTTTTACCCCGCCACTCTTGGAAAATGGGCATCATTCAAGAACTAGTGCGCACTACCACAGGTACTGCACGGGAAGCAGTGGTTCGGCTACCTTCCCGTAGACGAATAAGACGACCAGTGAATCTTCTTGTTCCCTTGGAATTGGAGGACGATGGCAACAGAGTACCCCCATGCAGGGCGAACAGCATGGAGAGCACCATGCCGAACAGGTGCAAGGAGCTGAGCGGAATCTAGCGGAGCCCAGCAATCCCCGTCCCAACCCTACCGAGAGACAGTCTCGCTATAACTTCCGAGATCGAAGACCAGTAAATTACAATGAAAATGATGAAATAGGACAACCCGCTAACTTCAATACGTCGTGGGTAATTAGCCTTATACAACTTCTGTCTATTCTTGGCGTTACAGGAGCCCACGCTACGAGTCAAGTCGCTTCCCGATACAATATTCAGTGCATCCAAGGCGGCGTTCAATTAAAAATTCCAGAAATAACACCATACCAACTTTGCGCCGATCAATACTGCGTTGACCTGGTACATCCGGAGCATGAAGAAACCGTTGTCTTCCCACCACAGATTGTCCTCCATGAACACAAGGTTCAGTGGAAAATATTAGAGAACCAAAGTATAAAGGCAATAGAAACGACGTGCCCCCCGGCTCCGTTCTGCAAGTTTGTGACCTGTACATTCTGCAGTGCCAATATTACCAACCCAGAATGTTGGCCCCTTAGAGCAATACTTGCGATAGCCGCACTGATGTATTTCCTTTTCACCGGCTGTTATGTCTTCCTGTATGTGCCAGTAGTGATAGGTAAGCCATTTAGAGTTATCGCAGCATTGACGTGGTCAATAGTCATACTCTTGCTCGGGAAAGTCAGAGTGCTAGGCAAAAAGGCCTTTGTAAGAAGACATGTACACGCTAGACGTTTGGCTGAGATCATAGCAATCCTGTCAGTACTGTCTCTCCCCGCACAAGGATGCCAGCTAGTTGACCTATTCGATCATTACTCTACGATTTGTCATAACGACCTAAGCGAACCCTGCCAAGTACATCTTTCTGAAGTTTTCAAAATCAATACTTTCAAACAAGAGGCATGTCTCCGATTATCCCTCAATAACACTTCAATCCACGAATTCCGTCTACGATGGAAGTCCTTGGATATGAAATGTGAACCTGAAACCAACCTTTTCACTAGGGATACCATCTATAGAGTGGTAGACAGCAAGCGATGTGCCCATATGGGTTCATGTGTAGGGGCCAAGTGTGGAGCGATTAATGCGTCCAGTCTCTTACCCGAACTAGAGGAAGGAAACCAATACCCGGGAAATACAGCTTGTGTGGAATCCTGTGGTGGGCCCGGTTGCGACTGTTTTTACCCTAGTTCAGGTTGCATGTTCTACAGAGTCTACCTTCAACCGGTCAGTGAAACCGTGTACGAAATCTTCCACTGCAACCGCTGGGCAAGCTTCGCGAAGGTAGAAATAAGTCACTTCGAAGGACTGCAAAAAAGGCTTTCCACCACTATAAGGGAGCTCTCACCGAACCTGCAATACAATGGAAATCTTTCCGGCTTACCCTCACTTCACTAGCTCTTCCGCCCATTCCTCTCTTCAATACTCACTTTATTTCGGACTCCACGCGTACCGCTGTATGGAAAAGAGACCATCACCCAGCATTGCGATGCCCCAATTTCATTAGCGCGAGACAATTCAACTGTGAAGTGTCTGATGAGTGTACATGCGTACCAGCTGAGCTTCATGTAAATTGCAGATGCACGGACTTTTCAATAGCCGATTGGTTCAATAACACGAGAAATCAGTTACCAGTGGTTTTTCCAGCACTAAGTTTTTTCCCGCACGACAAGTCGAAAGTTCAGGCAAGAGTTTCTTCTATGGTTAGTGCAGAAATTGTGGTCACCTTTCAAACGGCCTATAAACCAGAAATTCTGATTGATGACGCGACCTGTAGAATATCTGACTCCGACCTCAGAGGCTGCTATGGTTGTGCGAAGGGAGCCTTCAGTACAGTCACCTGCATTGCCTCACGGGACAATGTACAAGCCGAGGTCAGATGCGCTGAAATGGGTTTCACGATTCCCTGTAACAGAACAGGAGCCACTTCAACGCTACGGTTCGCGTTCACCACAGCCCGCATTTCTCTGACCTGCTCTGTTTCGTGCGGCAAACACCCACAGTTCTTCAAAATTGAGGGTATTCTCAAATTTGTCACAGTTCCAAGTGAGGTTTTCCAGCTATGGCTACGAGGTGACACAATATCCGACAGCGAATTCACTTGGCCAGATATTACCCATATCTTTACAGTTTTCGCACAATGGTACAAAACACTCCTCATCACAGTGATAGGCCTAGCTATAATTGTTGTAATGACCTACATTTTCCTCTCCACCTGTGGGATGCGAATTCTCATATGGCTTGTTACACTAGTCCCAAAAATAATTTTTTACACGGTCACGATTCTAATCCGCACTCTGTTTCGCAGAACTACCACCACGGGGCATAACAAGCAGCTCTAAGCCAATAACAATAACTTAACAAATAGTGTAGAACTTTTCATTCCTTTTCATTTCATTTTTCAATTTTTTTCATCTCTTTTAACTTTTCAGCATCAATCACAATGTCCCAAGACTACTTGTCCGAACTGACGTTCCTCTCAAAGCTTCATCAACGCTCCAGGCTAGCAAAAGACCTTGAAACGGTCCTCACCGACAGCCTCACAGTCATTCACGCCCAGATCCAGGTTACCAAGACACTGGGAATCGCGTGGCAGCACCACATCGATACGTATCCCCATCAGGAGGCCCGAGCAGGAGAACAAGTTCTCCTCATCAATAGATTTTTGCGTACGGGGTCAGTAACTAGAGAAATCATGTGGAGCTGGACGCAACGTTTACTGTTCATCGATTCGTTGTACCAGATCAAGGTCGACTCCGGGCAAATACCAGCATGTAAGAGAAAGGAATGGCTCGAGAACGGTACGGATCACAGTACATATGCACAAGACGTGATTTCATAGTAACCGAGTACATGCAGAAACTAGACCAATACGTAGCCGCAATAGAAGCACAGCTCGCCAAGGCGGAAAAGCGACTCAACGACGAGAAATGTGGGGAGCAGCTTCCAAAAGAAACGGCAGCAGAGGAGCAAGCGATGAAGATGGAGGTGGAAAGAATGGAGGATTCCCCAGCGGAGAACTTGCCAGCGGCAACGGACGACGAATACCTTGACCGGTTCGTCGAAGAGAACAAGGAAATGGAAGAAGACGAGGACTGCAGCGTCGAGCAGATTGAGCACGGTGATCACCCCTCAGACGAAGATGCTCCAGGGCCTTCCCACAGACATAAGAGCGAGAACTGGGAAAGGGACGTGCAACAGTTGAAGTTCTCGCTCGATCTCCTTCCACGTAGGAAACTCAATAAGGTTCCGAGCTCTGGTAGACCGAATGTAGTTTGCGTATTCTGCAAAAGGGTCGGACATCACTTTTCTGATTCCTGTCCTGTGATATCGGATGGGGACGAAAGATACCGCTTTATCAAGAGGAAAAGCCTCTGTCAATACTGCCTCGGAAATTGCAATCCGTATCGACCATGTCCCAAGCAAGAGACACAGTGCTGGTACTGCGAAGTTGTTCGAGAGAAGGAATGGCTCCGCTTCCTAATTCCAAATGACGGTGGACACCATCGCGCCTTGTGCAACATTCCGAACTCGTAGAATCTCATCCGCGAACGCATACGACAGCTGGAGGAGGAAGCAAGGGCGGTAAGAAGATCGTTTTAAAGCTGTTGGCCGGAGTGTCGCAACAAATGCGACTAACTCAATAAGTTATGGTGAGTAAAGAAGGGTTAGTTTACATTCTTAGGAAATTTCTTTCGTTCTCACCGGCACCCTGGGAAATCTTAGTTCTCAAAACATAATTTCTCGGGAGGCTGAAATATGTTTTTATTCCGGAATTGCAGGGCTCAATAGTCACGTTCACCGCTGTATATATGCTTGGGAGAGATTTTTTCTGGGGTTTTCCCACCAGTTCTGTTTCCACGGCTCAAATCGCCAGATCGGTTCAGCTAGGCCGAGAGTCGTCAGCGCATCATCGACATTCACTGATCCAATCGCCGATACGCCTCGAGCTCGCTCGCAAGAGGAGCTTCGTCATCACCAGGCGAGTGGATTTATTCTCTATTCTGGTCCGACAGACTATTACTCCAATATTCAGGAACTCTGCCATCGTGGAGGAATCACTACATCATCATCATCATCATCACTACAAGCGGACGACTACTGCCAGCGCATCAACTCTATACCCAACAGTTCGACCTCGATAGCAGGAAGTGGAAGAAGCAGTGGATATTCTGTGTTCTGCAATAAACTGTATTCATTCTGATTCCGCGTGGCCAGTGTTTGCACAGTGAAGGCGAGCAGATCTACCACAGACACGGTCCGACACGTAAATGACACTTCATCGTACGCGAATACACCATAGCGTAATATTGCAATACACACGACACTATACAAAGACAGTGATCCACACTGACCAGATGCATTGCACACACATCACCCTCACAGAAAAACGAACTCTGGTGTTGCCACTGCCGCAGCTCTTGGTCGCGGTCCACTCTCGTCGCCTAGCGCCCTCTTTATATACGGTCTCTCTGCGGCAAACATCGATGCGGCGCACATCAATGCGGTGAACATTGAAACATAACTTAATTGACACATGAGGAAACGACTGTAGCGCCGCCCACTCCACAGAACGATCGGTCCACAGTTCACTTATATACCACGGACTCTATGCCCGCCAGAAAATATAAAGATGGATAAAAACGAATAGGCTCGCAGAAAAGAAGAACATGCAAGAAACATTACACAACTTAGAGATTAATCCCACACCCCAGCTCACATCCACGGTATAAAAAACGCCATTCCCCCCCCCCTTAGGTTTACGCCACCGCACACTACATCGCGCAGCTGAGGTGGGACACTTTTTTTACTTTTTTTTTCCATTTAACGCTTATAGATCCACTTTAGCACTGTGTTGGAGAGGCACCAGAGGCATCCAGTCCAATTTAACCAGCGGGGAAAGCCTCTTGTGGATGGCTGACCCGTCCGGTTAATTAGGAATATGCACCTCTCTCTTTAAGTCACCAAACCCATTTCCAACCCATTTATTTTACTAACACCTTTAGGATGAACGATAACGCGCAGCTGCCCCCCCGCGTGATGACTGTTCAAGACACCTTTAACCGCGCATTCGCGGAACTTGCCCATCTTCACCAAGTCACGTCCATGCTACTAGTAAGTATTCACATGACTCCTCTACTGTTGCACTGTAGGTTAAGGACATAAGTTACACAAGTTGATAAAACTTCGTTTTCAGCAACGCCAACAAACGATTGATGCACGACTTACACAACTCGAAGGCACGCTGCACACAATGATCTGCTTTGTTCTCCACGCGGAACGTTATCCTGCTGCGCCGGAGCCCCGAAATGACGCGAACTGAGGATTTACGATGGATTGACATTGCACACCTTTGTCACATTTTATAGACATCTTGAACTTCGCCCGTTCCACCGCGTTGATTTTCTCCCTATTGCCTGCACTCTGGGTCGTTCAGTCCGCTCCCGCAGAAGACTGTGCTGAACACTTGTTCAATAGAGGGTTAGTTCGCTTCACGGCTCACTTTGAATTTCCAGAAACGATAAATAGCACCACCCAGGAGGGTCGCTCAAAACTTCCCAAAAGTTCAAGATGTCACATATCGTATGAACATGGTTCGATTTTTGCACTTGGTTCCATTTTTTACACTTGGCTTGATTTTTTTTACACTTGACTCGATTGACTGACCTGATTGACGACTTTTAAGAAGGTTCTTGATTTGGAAAAAAGGGTACACTAAACTTGTAACAGTTTTCGTTGCACATCACGACACATACACGGACACTTTACAGACGCATAACGGCATACCAGCCGATGTTTATAAACACGTTAAAGTATGTCGCTCGAGACCGCCGCCGCCTCCGCGTTAGTGATAGCCTAGTGACAATGATGCCCGCTACCATCAGTATGCTCGAAAGATCAATGCCCACTAGCGACCAAGTTTTGCAAACACCCTGTCGAGGTCCGGTGCTTCTAACATAGTGCTTAATCCTTCTTCCGATGTTCTACATAGCCGCGACAACCAACACATCTAAGGGCGGGTTTCACGAAGATTACTCCCAGGCACACGACGGACACTACACATAGTATATGGTCTCTTAAGCATTCTGGATGATCTAGGTAGTCTCTCCATAGAGAATCCCCTCGTAGCCTCATGACGTCAAGTAATATGACAACATCCCCATCCACTATAAAAGGAGCTCCAACCCCGCTTACTATAAGCACTCATGCTAACCACATTAGCTTTACTGTTAACCGATCTATTATGACATTGCTTCTGCTATAGCGACTCAACGCGAGTTCCCCAATGTTCACCATATAGACCTTTTTTTCAGATACGGCTGAGAACACCGACGATAACTATGTGCAGGAACTTGACGATGACAAGAAGAAGACTATTCCCCGTCGCACCACAACGTATCTAAAGAGCTCAACGCCCTCCGCTCTGCGATAACCACATTGACAAAGGCGGTCACCGATAACCAAAAACGGACGCATGGGGAGTCATCATTTAACGAACCCGAAATAAAACGAAACAAAACATCAATCGATGAGGTAATTTCCCCAGGACACTATCATTTCTGCACTATTTCATATACTTTCACTTTAGGACATCCTCAAGACACTGGAACAAAAAATTTCCAACATCGAGCGCCTCAACAACTCGTTCACGCTATTCAGGACTACAAATACACTCGTTACCAGACAAGATCACATACCACGCAGGAAGAAAATCGATCCCACAACACCTTTACTACTTCCAAGAATAGAGGAAGCGCAGCACCCAACTGTTGCGCATTCTGCGCAGACGACCACTGGGCATCACAGTGTCCACACTATCAAACGCTATCCCAACGCCGCGCGCAATGTCAACGACGAAACAGGTGCGAACGCTGCTTGAGAGAAGCAAATCACCTTGCGACCTCATGCGAATCAAACTTGCAATGCTTTTTCTGCCGTCGTAATGGTCGCACCAACCTCATGCATCGCCATAACTCTGCCTTCTGCCCTCACCAATTCCCAATGTGAACACATCTTAGGTTCTAACAGTCATTTCCAGTACACCCTTGATTAATCATAGGCTTCTTATATTCTTCTATTGCTATAACTTTCATTTTTATATCTTTGGTTGAATAAAAAGATTACTAGCAGTAGGTCTTGTTTTCAGCCTAAATCGATTTTCGAGCACCAACCGAACATATAACTCACGTCAAATTTAGGCGTCCCCGTTATTCTATTACTTACAACAATCTTAACATTTCAATGTGACACCGCCTTCTTCCTTAGCACAGAGGGTATATAAACGAAGCTCACATCAGACACTTCACTCTACTCCGATTCACAGTCATGACCACTTCCACCTTCAATCTTAGAGCGACGAAAAAACACTTCGATATTCAAATCCATATACTCAAATCATTGCTGCGAGAAGCCAACGAGTTTTGCGCTCCGTGGACTCTCCCACTAGACAATAGACACCTCACAATTTTTATCACTACTGAAACCTTAACGGTCCGCGGCCTTCTGAAAAGAATTCAAGAGCAACGCGCTATACTTTGGTCAGCCTATGTTCACGCGAGCTCAACTCTTGCTGAACTACCTCCCCAGCGAGCTGAGGAGGTTTCTCAGGAGTTTGATGATCTATGGGTCGATCTGGGAGGAGGCACTATCATAAAAGCTGCCGCGACCATTTCACGAACACTGGAAAAACGGTTAATCGAGCTCAAGTGTCAACGAGTCCTAGCCAAACAATTTCTCCTAGAACCCTTTACAGTCCCACACATTCACCAATCAACTATCAGCCATACCCAGCTCTGCTTTTCCAACCCGGCCACCAACAATCTCAACAGTCTCTTCCTTCCTGTCATTCTGTGAACAACACTCCACAAGTAAAGATGCCCCCCGTTAGCGATCTCGCACAATGGCGTCATTCAACTCCGCAATCTCCCTACCCTTCAAATAGTAATCAACAATAGATTCTCAAGCTTCATCCGACAACACTACCTTGACAACACATTTCTCTTCGTTCTGCATAACAGCCACCCCTTTTTTCTAGTTTTCTGTTTGCACCGATCCACTTACAATACTGATAACAACATCAGCACTATTAGACCCCCTACCTATCACCACATCATCGTAAACATTCCACATTTCTTGTTACTTATATCAC